TGCCATGCTAGCACCCATGGAACATGCCTGTGCCATGCTGTGCCCATACAACATGCCTGTGCCATGCTGTGCCCATGCAAATGCTGCTGATACCCCACAGGTGCCCATGCGATGCTGGCACCTGTGAAACACCCGTGCCCATGCAGTGCTGGTGCCCATGCAACACATCAGAGCCGTGCTGGTGCCCGTGCCCAGCTGGCACCCACAGAACTCCTGTGCCCATGCAACATGCGACCTCGAGCCACTGGTGCCCCTGCAGTGCTGGCACCCAGCTGGTGCCGGTGCCCAAGCAGTGCCATCACCCGTGCAACACTGTCACCTGTGCAATGTCACTGTCACCCACACAATGAGGTGTGACCCCTGCGACGCCAGTGCCCGTGTGACACACCAGTGCCCGTGCAGTGCCACGCCCATGCAGTGCTGGCACCCGTACAACAGTGGTGCCCGTGCAGTGGCCCCCCCTTGCAGCGCTGGTGCCCCCCCGTGCCAGTGCCCCCCAGCACCCCGGGAGCCACTCACTGCTCATCTCCCCCAGCGACAGGCGGGAGTCCTTCAGGCCGGGATCCTCGTAGCCCTCAGGGTCGAGGGTCCTCCTCATGCCCTCCTCGTAGGCCTCCTGTGGGACAGAGAGAAGGGGGTCAGCGGGGTCTGGTACCCTCAACGCCTCGCCGGGGCTGTGCCGGGGCGCAGCAGCAGAGCCGGGGCGGGGGGCCGGGGGTCCCTACCTGGCCGGGCCCCTCCATGGCTCCGGGCTCGGCCCCCGCTGCCGCCTCGCTGCGTCCCGGCGCTCAGCCCGGTGCCACCATAACCCGGCTCTCTGCGGGGCGGGCGCGGGGGAAACCAGAGAGAACATGTTAGCAGAGACCGGGGCATCGCTCGGTGCCCCCCGGGATCAGGGTTTGTCCCCTGGGGTGGGGCTGGGGCTGAACTGGCCGTTCCCGCAGCCCCTGCCTGCCTAAACTGCTCCCCACGGGCTGGGAGGTCCCGGGGTCGGGGATCCCCGGGGAAGTCATGCCCTGCCCTGTCGCCATCCAGGATGGGAACCGACGTCAGGCGACGGCAGAGCCCCGGCAGCTTCCCACCAGGGACGTGGCATCCTGCCCTGGCCCACCCATGCCCAGGCACACCATGCCCTGTGCCCGGGGGTCGGGTCCTGTACAGACCCACACCCAGGGACTGGGGTCCCGCACGACCTCTCACAAGTGGGTGGGGTCCCATATAGACCCACACACATGGACCGGGGTCCTACACGACCCCATGGGTGGGGTCCTATATAGGCCATGCACACAGCTGGGGTCCCACACGACCCTTTGCACGTGGGTGGGGGTCCCATATAGACTCACTCACAGGGGCTGGGGTCCCACTCACAGTGTCCAGGTCCCCCTGCAACTGGCCCCCCCAGCCCCGTGGCACAGTGCGGGGGGGAGAAAGGGAAACTGTGGCACAGCTGGGCTCACGGGACATCCCAGAACAGGACAGTGTGAGCGTCCCAGAGCCCCCCAGGGTGCACAGTTGAGGAGGCCCCTGTTGCCGCCCCCCCAT